CTACTGCTACTGCTACTGCCACCACCCAGATGCTGTGTTCAAAGGAAGCTAGAGATAGTGGTTGCGGCCTGGATTGGGGCCTGCTCCAGCACTCGGGGTTTGGGGCTCGAGGGCTTTAAGGGCTTTCGGGTTTACTGTTTGCGAGTTGGGACTACATTGTCACGAGCTTGTGTCTCATCAGCCCTTGTGTTCTCGTGTGTTGAGCTTTTCCTGCAGGCGATGTTCTACTTCGCCGGCATTTGGGCGACAGTTTAGATTTAGCCAAATTCTCGCCAGGGCTCGAAGTCCGAAGGTTGGCATGCGAGGTTTAATGCTTCATGGCTGCTGGGAGTAGTTGAGACCTGTCGAGCTTGATTCCCTCGTTGGTGCTGGGTTGCGGCTTTGTTGGCGGTGTCCCGTGGGGATGAAGTAGTTCAGGCTTCGGTGGCATGTGAGATTAAGACGGCAGAAAGCCGTTCCAGAGTTTGTGAGGTAGGATTTCGGCGATCTGATCGGCATATACAGCGCAGGCCTAGGAGGTTGTGTTCTTCAAGCTTCTGGCTGTTTGACAGTCGGAAAAACCCAGTCCCAACCCTCGGACTCAGATGCAGGATTCCTCAACGAGTCCCAAGTTTGTGCTTCTTGAGGCCAGCTCTTCGACCCATCCACCATGCCGGGGTTTGCGGTTCAGGGCTTCGGTTTGTTACCTTTTAGGAACCAAGGAGAATCCCTTGTTCTCAGCCTTGGCCCCCAGAGTCTTGAGCTGTTAGCCCCTAAGTAAGGAAGGAAGGTAAAGCTTGAGCCGCAGCCCCCCGGTGGGCAACAACTGAAGTCCCAGGCTGCTACAAGGAGAGCAAAGAGTTCCTGTCGTTTCTGGCCGGCCGCTGGTTCTGTCTTGCCTTCCCCCGACATGCCCAACCTTGGACCACCAAGAGGGAGCTTTGGGCACTTGGGGCTGGGGCCTGCAAGCTTCCTCGAATGTCAGAGAATGCCGTGATTTCGTCGAGCCGACCCAGCTGCGAATCTTTTGAGATTCCTGAGACGCCAATCTCCTGAGAAAACTTGGAAGAAAGCCTGAGACCACTGCCAAGGTCAAGCGGAACCAGTGGAAAGTCAGCAGGAGTGGCTTCTGGCTCACATGCAGCATTGGAACGCAAGCTAGGTCCCTTGTACTTGCATGAACCTCGCTGAGACCCCCGAAGTCCTAGCAGGAGCCCGGCCAAGAATCCAGCTTTCTGATCGACCACCTGCTGCTAGACAAGTACGTGGTGTTTCGGAGTTGACATGCCAAGGCACTCTTGAAGTATAAACTGAGCTGCAACTCTGTGTCTTCTCTGATTGAGTGTAGGCGAGGTAGCCATGATGACACTATTCCGAGGGCATCATCTTGATGTTCGACCACCCCAAAACTGGTACAAGCCCGCAGGACTTCTTACAGGGTACGGAGTGCGGACTCATGCTTGCTTAGTCAATCGAACCCGGTCTCTTCGAAGCTCCGGAAATACTTCGATTGACTTTACATATACAAACCAACACCTTCGATAAAGACTTGCGCAACAAGCCAGGCCATTCAATTGAGGCTCTGCAGAACATTGCAAGGTCACCTTTTGTTGGGACTTTGGAGGATTTTTTGTCAGCTGCAGCGGGACTTCTGCGGCCGGTACCTATATGACATGGCGATATGATTGCGCGTGGCTAGCACGATCAAGCAATATGCATGCATATATGTATGTGTCTCCTAATTGGAGGTCAGTTTACAGATCGCAAGAACAGCCGCGATGTGTTCTTTTCGTGGCCATTTTGGCGATCAGCCGATCGGCCCGGATTTTCGATCGTCAGCGGAGGCAAATATTAGATAATTAGATCCTTGACCAGCAATGTCGTTCTCTGCAGCCGGCCCCTATCGCGGCCCAGAAGCTCAGCCGCAGACTCCCCAGCAATCTAGCAGCAGATGTTGCCCACTGGGGACTCTACACGCCAGGACAGGCTCAGGCCCCTGAGAATCCGGCGGCTCCGCCCGCAGCCTCAACGATCGCGATCGTCACCGCCAAAGAGGAGATGCTGCTCATAACCCGTTTGCGGTGCAGAAGCCCGAGTTCGTGGAGCAGGTGCCGGTCGAGGCGGAAGATCCCACCCGCAACTCTTTGTTGGTCGACAACAGGGACGAGCGACTGATCGGCCCGTTCCAGAACTGGCTCGTGGACGACATCATGTCCAAACTGGTCGCTTTTCGCGAACTACACGCTCCATGGCATCAAGGCGGTTTATGTGTTCACCATGTCGTCGAGGACCGGAGGGCCTTGTGCTCAGTGCGACTCCTATGCCAGCTCGGCTAAGCCCCACTCGGTTTTTTAGGTTCACTTGGCCAATGATGTGGATGTGAAGGTCTTCAATGGCAACGAGGTCCTGTTCCATTCGGTGTTCAGAAGACAGAGATCGCACTCTGACCTCTCGGTCCAGCAGCAGTTCTGCGATGAGGTCTTCATCCGAACTGCCAATGAGGCATGGTTCAGGCCTTCGGTCGTGATCTCGGTCGTCGTCGGCTGGAAGGTCTCCGAGATGTCCTTTGCGCAGGCCCCTTCGATCGGACCTGGCGGATCTGTGGTGGCCAGCGATCACGCCAGGAGCACTTGTGAGCTCCGGGTCGCCTATCGCCGACCACTTGCAGCAGTTCGCTCAGCTCTCGGCGGTGATAGCTCCCTGCTACAACTCGCCAGAGTGGCGAACGCCGAGAACGTGGGCACCTTCACGGATGCCAGTTCGTGAGGCAGGACTCATGGTGCGGGACTGTCAGTGGAAGCTCACAGTGGCCCTCCCGCGATCATGGAGGAGGCGGCCAGGCACACGATTCGTGAGCTGGGCGCATCGGCTTCCTCGACGATCCTCAATGTTCCCACCTCTGCACAGCAGATGCATCATCACAGGTTTCTGCCACCCAGGTGATCCCAGAGGGCGATCTCAGCGAGCAGGACGGTCTGGTGGCGATCACCCCGAAGGCTTCCACAGGCTCGCGGCCCAGGAGTCGAGCGGATCAGCACCGTTCGTGTGGAGGAGCGGGGGCCGAGATCATGGCGGCCAGCAGTTCCACGCCAACTTCCGGTGTCTTTCGCTCCGCAGCATCCTCCAGCTTTGAGCCCGGCAGGTCCATATGCCACGCAGGGGCCGACGGTCGAGTGATGGACGATCGTCGAGAAACTTCGGAGTTTTGTGCGATAGCCCTTGAACATTTGGGCGATCGCACAGTTTTTCCGACCTGCGTGACAGCGTTAGCCGGCGGATCAGCCGAGCTTTTTCCAAGTGCAGACCAAATGTGAGCCGTTCGATCCTCTCGGCGCGCTAGATCCCAGCACTGTTACCCGAGATCGCCAGCCGAGCTGGTGAGTCCCTCCGGCGATCGGAGCATCCGTTCGGAAGGATGACGGTCTGAGAAGTTCGAATAATATTGATCTGTGGCCGACTCCCACGTTG